CAGACGAGGACGTCATCTTTTTCTGCAGCGACCAGAGCCATAGGAATCGCGGAACAGCGGTTGGTTTAAAACGTTAATTTACATAATTTAATTGGAATTTGAAATATGACGTCGTACTTAAGCTCTGTTTTAATATTGGTCGAGCTCTGCGTGTGGAAGGACAAATTACGTTAACAATGGCTTAAATAATTATTTATGTGTTTTTTGTATTCATTGAATGAGAGAATTTGAGGGAATCTCGCTTTTATGTGCCTGGTTTATGGTGCGCATTAGAAATGTCAGTCTCCTACGTTAGTATTATGAACGGTGTATTATCAATTAAAATAAATGCCGCAGTCAGGCCCGTTATTAAATGTTTTCTCTTGTTCTATTGTTTAATTGTAGCAATGTCATTTAATATGTCATATCATGTTTTTTCTTTAATTTTTGCCTGTATTTTCTCATAATACAAAATTACTAATGCAGTGTTGAACTCACTCACCAATTACCCCACAGCAATAGTGGAGTGGGACGAGCTGTTAAAACAGGAGATTCTTGTCTTTTAAAGGAGCTGTTCGCCCATAGGCAAGATTTGTTAACACACAGAGACTACATTTATTTCACACAAATAACTGAGTTAATAATTCATAGCGCAAAACGAAAACTGAGAATGAATTCGACATTCAAAAAATACCTACCCCTTGATAAAAATGTTTATTACAGACAGAATTTAAAGAGAAAATAAATATTAAAAACTAATAAATAGTACAGAACATAAACTTGAATCAAATATCGGTTGTTTGATACAACTCTCTTTTGATTGCATATGTACACCCTTTTCTGGATTTGGAGGGGAAATTAGTGCGGAGTGAGGGGAAGTTGCCTGGGCTCGCAGGAGCGCCGGGCTTCCCTAGGCGCCAAGTAGCTTGCGCGGACGCGGTATGGCATTCCATGAGCCGTTGTCTTTTTCTCTCGGATCCGCATACGTACACTCCTCACGCACAGACACTTGATATAATACCGCATAATTTAAAACTAATTTGTTCTCTTAACGTTCCGAACAACAGAGTCCTCCGAGTGAAGCACGGAGTCTATACTTGTGAATTTGACATTATTATCGTATTCACTTTCAAGAAAGCGAAAGCATGCAGGCACTAGAATAAGAAATTAATGTAACTCCGTAAGTCAAGTTTTCGACTTTATGACTAATATGGAAGAGTTTTCATTTCTGTTCGCGACGATGTCAAGGTGCTCTCACGACGATGACGTAGTTTTCGTCTCAGCATGTAAATTATTTTGGTGACTTTTTTTTAGAGACGGAGTTTTCTAACTAGCCTTTAGCTCATCGTGGCGTGGCGTGGCGTGGCGTCGCGTGGAACGCAACCCGACGCACAGCCTCGCATGTGCTGCGGGCGCGGGGCGGGGCGCGCTGTCCCCAGGTAGAGGGGACAATGAGTATTGAGGGCCGGGAGGGTTCGCTTCGGGCGCGCGGAGATCCAGTGGCAGCGGGCCGCCTGCCGCCACCAAAAGTTCGTAATCTCCAACTCATTGCGTTTTTTTTTTTTACTTCTGCTTCTAGTGGTCCGTATTTTAAATCATCGATAATGGATCCCTACAGTACCAGTCTTGCTATTCTGAATAAGATATTTCCGACATTTCATGTGCTTTTCTTAAATCAATCTATAATAATTATCTATAGATGATCGGGCAAATGTGTTTGATGCAAGTCTCACTTAAAATAGGTGATTTAAAAATGGGACGATAGTGAAGAAATGGAAGATGATCGAACATGAGAGCAATGGTTTACTGATATGCTAATAGAGATGTGCTCAGTACGTTAACGCTTAATGCCATTTATTCTACTATATAATAAATTTAAGCATTTAAGATCTATAAGTTAATTTCTCGCAAATTGGGTCTCGTATTCTTCCCAGATAAGAAAGCTGTTAAAGCCATCAAATGAAAGTACCGCTCTTTTTAAAAGGTAGCTGATGTACGTTAACATCAATATTGTATTCGCTTCACGTCTGTAACAATTATCATAATTATACCATACGATGGCCATCAATGAAGTAGACAAACAACACAAACGCCAGTTCATTTACAAATGCACGGTCGTTACTTGCCTGTGGCTCCTGTTCCATTGCCCAGATAAGCGAGTGGAGAGGAAAATCGACGCCAAGACGCGAGGGGCGGCGCCTCCGCCCGGAACACTCGAGGGGCAGCGGCGGCTGACGTACGCGGCGCGCGCCGAGGGGCGAAGCCGGTGATAAGCCCGGCGGCCGCGGGGGAGGGCGCGCGCCTGCCACGTCCAATTCACAGGCCTCGTCCATCTTTCATCTCCCGCGCCGGCAATTAGACGGCTGGTCTGCGCGCGGCGGCGGCGGCGGCGCGCGGCGGCCGCGAGGGCGGCGAATGCCGAGGGGCCGCTGCGCGGCGATGCGGCCGCCGGTCCCGCCGCGACCGCAGCCCCCCTCGCCCCGCCCCGCCCCGCCCGCCCTCCGCCCCGCGCCAGTTGCCATGGAGGCGGAAGAAGATGAGGTTTAACGAACGGTTTTTTTACGGGGGGGAGGGTGAGCACGGCATGGTCAAGATCAATATACTCGCAATCAATACATGTTACAATATCAACCAAATATCGATAGTATGAACCTATGAACACTGGTCATTGGTTAGGTGGAAAGCAATTCGTCAGTTACTTTTCTTAAACGATTTCAAACGAAACCGAATATATTGACGAAACACAAATAATTTACCTCTACTATGTAGAAAACAATCTCACAACGGTTTATTCATGTACTTATACGTAGAATTACTCTTAATTATTTATTTATTATGTTTGTCAGAGAACGAAAATAAATCCTCATGCATGCAGTTCTCACTGCACACCACTAGTTAGAAATCCACCTTGAAATTTGTGACGCTCTTACAAATATTTTAAAAGATCAAACTTCAAATTCTATCAGTCATTTTTACGTCATATTCCGCACAAATTCAAACTTAATTATTAGATCAATAATTGAAAATCATTACTTCTTGTCGAAAACATTATCCATAAAATGTAAAAGATCTTCGTAATGTGATATATGCATTTGAAAATAAAAATAAAACAAAAGGACCATTAATATTAACAATGATTAATTTCCAGTTTAAGAGTAAAGGAGGAGAATTAAGAGTAGAAGAGTAAAATTTGAAGTCCATTCTCCACTATTTATAGGCACGTCTAACCTACTTATCTGTTCTTATTTTTCTAATAACACTATGGGCATCAGTACCCTGTTAAGACGAACAAATATCTTTATTAACGTAGAAAGCAGTACTCGTGGAGCAGAGAGGAGCAGAGGGTGTTGGAGGAGGCAAGCTGGAGGGCGCCGGGAGAGCGGCCGCGAGTCGCCGGCCAGTTGCTGCAGCGGCAGAGCCACTTGCTAAGTAACCCGCGAGCAATTGATTGGCGGCGCCTGTAATCCAGCGCTGAGCCCGCCCCGCCCACGCGCCGCGCCGCCCTCGCCGCGACGGCACCTCCACTGCTGTCTCCGCTCTGCCCTGTACCGCACTGGCAGCGCCAATACGTTCGATCAACCCTCTTTCATCTTCCACGTACTGTAGCTGATACGAACAAGTATTGAGTGTTATGAAATGATCATACGAAATTTCAGGTTTGTCGTTTAAATGGAAAATTATTCATTGAATTGTATTCTCTTAATGACAATATTATATTCAGTCATGAGATTAGGTGTTACAAAATAAAAGGATGCGCTTATCCAAGGGAGAAACAATTATCTGAGGACGGATTATCACTCTCTTATTAAACAACACCTCCTCTGAAAAAATATACTATATGTATATTTTTCAATGCTTATCTTTGTCAAGTAAATAAGGATTATTTTCATTCAAAGATTGTCATTGATTGTGTTCATAAATATAATGAATGTAAGACAATGATAAAACTATACCCCGTGAATTAAAAAAACGAAATTAAATTGGTAAAACATGACAGAAAGCAATTCGAACACTAAGTAAGTATTCGTACTTTATAGCACTAACACATCGGAGAAAATGGTCATTAAACAGCTTTGTTTAACTATTACATTTATAAATATCGTGTACTCGGTTGTCGTTTATTAAATGGATACTGTTTTACGAAATATGTTATTTCTGAGTTTTTTGCAAATACTGCTGTGTCGTTGTTTGCCAGTATTCTTTAGATCTTTATGATTGGAAACATAATATAACTCGAAAACATAATATGCTGTTGGACAGACACGTCCGGAGCAATAATATAATCATTACGGCGCACAGCATCTCGACGCTTCCGGGGCGCGAGCGGGGCGCGAGCGGGGCCGGCAAAGCCGCGCTGAGTCCCGCGTGGGGGCGGGGAGCCTCAAAGCCGGCGCCGCCGCGGTCGCGGGCCCTAATTGCCCGGGGATTTATGGGGTGTAATTAAAACTGCGCGAAAAAAGCGACTCGCCGCCGCCGCGATCGGTTCCCGTCCCCGCGGCCGGCGTCGCCCCCGTCGGCAGCGATTCGGCGATAAATCCGCGCGTCCCTGCGGAGCGGCCGCCGGCGCGCCCGCCTCGCCGCCGGCCCTTGGGAGCAGCCGTTAACCGGGAGCTACGGGCCCGGACGGCGCGGGCTTCGCTCGCTGGACGCTGATGGACGAATGCCGCTCGGCCGACGGGCACGAGGAGCAGGCATGTGGGGGCCGGGCGAGGACACGCGAGGCTTCGGAAATTGATAATGCGTACAAGTAATGGATCTTTGGTCCTGTTAGTGTCACTAGTAGGTCTGCTTTCTGAAAGGTCGGTAAGTCAATAAATTCACTCACAGTTTGAAAACTGAAGCAGTAGTTTCTTAATTAATAGTATACTGTAGGAACCCGGAATTACAAAAGCAGAAATCCACATTTCTGAGTGAAGATCTTACTGTGCGACGTTGCTCGATCAGTGATCTTACAAGTCATGAATTGTTCATAGCCTTAGCCAAAACAAGTGTTCTAAGAGTGTGGTGACGCTGTGTTGCAGGTGTGGTTCAAGAACCGACGCGCGAAATGGCGCAAGCGAGAGCGCAACGCCATGAACGCGGCGGCGGCGGCCGCTGCCGACTTCAAGAACGGCTTCGGCACGCAGTTCAACGGCCTGATGCAGCCCTTCACCGACACCGACTCCCTGTACTCGTCCTACACGACGTACAACAACTGGGCCACCAAGGTGCCGAGCCCGCTGGGCTCCAAGAGCTTCCCCTGGTCGGTGAACCCGCTGGGCACGGTGGTGCCCACCAACCACCACCAGAGCCCCGTCAACTGCTTCAACTCGGCGGCGGCGGCCAGCTCGGTGGCGGCGTCCATGACGTCGGGCGCCGGCTCCATGCTGCCCGGCTCCATGACGACGAGCCTGAGCGGCGTGACGGCGCCGGGCGCGGGCGGCGTGTCGGGCCCCGCCTGCCCCTACGCCGCGCCCTCGAGTAGTCGCGCAGCGCGTCGGCCGAAGCGTCGCGGCTGGGCGGCCGGTGCGGCGTGCGCCGCTCGCCCGACTGCGGACGGCGACGGTGGGGGGTTGGAGCGGGGGCGCGCGCAAGCACTGCGCCGACCACTGCCTGCTGGCGGATGCGGGAGCGGCGCGGCGCGGGGGCGGGCTGCAGGCGGGCGGCGGCAGCAGCCGCGGGCGGCGACGACGCCGCGGACGGTGGGGCCGGGGCGTCGGGGGCGGGGGCGGCGGAGCGGGGTGGGTCGGGGGCCGGGGGGCGGGGGGCGCGCGACGCTGGCGGGGCGCGGACGAGGGTACGGGCCCGCGCGCGCTCGCTCGACTCGCAGGCCGCGCCGCGGTGGCCTCCGACCCGGGGGTGCGCGCAGGGGGCGGAGCGCCCGCGGAGGCGCCCGGCTGAGGGTGCGAGGACGCCTAGGCGGGGGGCCGGCCCCCCGCCCGGCCCCGGCGGCCGAGGCGGCGCGTTCGAGCGGCCGGCCGGCCGTGGGGAGCAGCTCTCTATCCTTCACGCGCGGCGAGACGCTCGGTCGGAGAGCGGCGCGCGAGACAGTGCGGGCTGGATGCTGACATTGGGCACCCAGCGAGGCTGCGCGGGACGGCGGAAGAGCGGCGGACCCCGGGCCTCGGGCGGGGTGGCGCGCCCGCGCTCCTCTGTGACTGCGACCTAGCGCGAGGGCAAGCGGAGCGAGGCGGCCTCCCCGCCCCGCCCCCGCCCCTTCACCG